GAGTTACCTTTCTGTTGCTGTGATAAACCACCAGGACCACAGCAACTTTATTGGGCTTTCAGTTCCAGAGGGATAAGAATCCATTACGGTGGGGAAGGCGTGGTGGGAGGCAGCTGGACCAGAAGGCTGTGTAACATCTTCATGAAGGCAGAGGAAGCAGAGTGAAACCATGGAACCTCCTGAATGTCTGCAAACAGCACCACCAACTGACCAAGTGCTCAAATACTTAGAGCCTACGTTTTAATTCAAACCACTACAACAGGCTAATAATCCTCGTTAGTTTACTGAAGATGTTATTGCACCTAGTGCATGCTGGATGCCAGAAGTGAATGAAACACTCTCTGCTTTTAGTTACCCAAAGCTAAGCGGTGGCGGGAGGGTATTAAAAGGAAAGAGCCCAGTTCAATATAGCATGGTTCGTGCAAACATGGGACAGAAAGCAAAGTACATGCAAGACATGGGCGGGGTGTTTTAAAGATAAAGATTTGTTAACATTTGTGCAAAAGTATCAATTGAAGTAGAGTGTACTCTCCTGATCTTCATCCAACCATAGGAAGTGGGCTCTATGGAAGGATTACCAAGATGCTCCTTGTCCCTGTCCTTCATGCCAGGCTTGTGACATGACAGCTGACACCGATGGATCCTTGTCTTGGGTCAGGAGCTGTTCTAAGCTCTTCACATGTATTAACAGCATTTAATGATGTGACAATTTAACCAGGTGCTCACTTTGTTATCTGTATTTCACAGGTGAGGTAGTGGGCGTGGTAAGGAGTAGGGTATTGCCTAAGGTCTCACAGACAGAGGCTGACTTTGAGGCCAGGGCATTTAAACTCTAATCTGTCACTCTGTTCACATACTGTATGTATATGAGTTCATTCAGCTGTTCTCAAATTTTGACAAATAACTATTATAATTTTCACTTTATAGATTATAAAAATGACTGCTCAGGGACATTGAATGTCTCAAGGTCACTCTGAATGACATTGCTGAGACTCAAGAAAGGATGATGGGTTTCAAAGCTTGAGCTTTTTACATGGTCTCTGGGGTCAGACTAAGAAGTAGGAGACTAGCAATGTAACTTCAGTAATCTCTGCCCCCATGTATGGGTGTACCTTCCTCTGCTATAAATGGAGATGCACAGATAAAACTCAAACCTCCAGGGCAGGGAGTGAATCAGGCATGAGGTGGGAGGAATCCACTGCTCTTTCTCCCTGTCCGACATTTTGAACATTCACCTGCCTCACAGGAGGAGGACGTGTTTGGCATATTGCTTCCACATACGTGCAAAATGAAATTTCCCAATTACTTAGTTACATAACCACCTCCGTCACTCTGGAGATAAATAATTACACATTTTCCCACCAGATGCTGCTGCACAACAGGCGTCAATGGGCATTATTCAGTCTTTATTAAAAATAGAGGGCCTCTGAGTCACAAAGGAAACTGATGGACGCAGGAGCAAGTCCAGGAGTGGGCTGGGTGTAACCAGGATGTACAGGACTCCCCATCCCCCTCACCCCTCCTGATACTATAGATAGACAGCTGAATGATGCAATCCTGCAGAACGCTGCCTGTACCACGGGGAGGCAGGGCACAGAGACAGAAGAACCAGAGACTATAGAGCATTTGGGCTCCTGTTTCAGTCTGGTTATTTCTTGGCTTTGTGACCTCAGGGGATTTGAATTTTTGCTCCTGTCTTGGAAACAGGTGGATGGCAGTACATTCCCTGTTTGTGTCATAGGCTTATTTCCAAGATAAAAATGTTAGTAGCTAACAACTTTGGACACACATGTGTAAGCCACTGTGATAAATGTATCACAGTTACAGCCCATATAATACTCTAACAACCTTATGAAGCAATCTGGTATTATCATATGTATTTTATAATTGAGGAATCAGAGACTGAGAAAGTGATGTAAATTGCTGAAGGTCAAATATCCACTTAGTGGCAGAGCTGAGATTTGAGCTCCAGCCTATGCCTACAGCTGTTACAGTTATGGGATGCAGTTAAGCAATTTCAAAGATCTCTGAAAGTCAGAAAATACCAAATGTCATAAATTATCAGGCTATCAGGAAGCACTTATGTACTTTTACCTTACCCATCATCTTAACAGGCTATCTGTTCTCCCTGGACAGATGCAGAATAGGATATATTGAATCAGATGAGGGCAAGAGGTAGAAGTTGGCTAGGCAGTTTAGGGTAAAGACCCCAAAAGAAAAATGACCACTTTATTTCTTAGCTGAGAGTTGGAAATTCCCTTAGATCTGGTAGTAAACTGAGGTCAGAGATTCCAGAACCATCTATCTAAAGATGTCTCTGAACCCGCCATACCTGGAGGCTGGGGATGCCAATAAGGGGGTCTGTTTTTATCATTATCTCTCTTTTTCCTTGACTAATAAATACCCCATTCCTGGATTGAGGACATGACCTCAAGGAACCTGGACACTTGGAATAAGAACTTGACTGACCAGGTCATCCCCCCTCTCCCCTCCTCCCTCCACTAAATCCTTATTAACTCCTGGGTAATGAGACTCAATGGAATTCCACTCTGAGGGACCATCCTGCTTTACAGGAGCTCTGCTTTCTCTCTGCTAAGCTCCCTATAATAAAACTCATCCTCTGTGGTCTGTGAATTTCATTCTTTGAATTTGTGAGATAAGAACTTGAAAGCCTCTGGCTTGAGGTGGCTTTGTGGCCATTGACTTTCTGGGACCCTAGCCTCTCAAGTTAAGCACAACAGAGCTGAGAAAGGCCCTGTCACCCCCAAAGACACCCTGCTATTCCTTATCATTGGAAGGGTACCATCTGAGGGAGGGGACAGAGATAGGGCATAAGGTAATTCATTATGGTGATGGAGAAGACACCTGTACCATTATGGGATAAGGACTCTCAGAGTCTGCTCTGTCAGCTATGCCTTGGAATTTCTGTCTCTGACCCATGTAACGAAATGCACAAATATTTTTCTGTAGGGTCACCTCGGTTGGTTCAGAGCTCTCAAATGGGAATGGGTTATATTTTGCTATAATTGCATTGCAGACTGAGAAGTTCTCCTTTATTAATGGAAGCCCCTTTAGACCTAAGAGGTAGGATACCTGTGCTCAGGGACAGCCAGAGGGACCTAAATACAAGAATTCTAGCGATGGCTGGACTTTGGCATTTAGCTTAGTGTTCCATCCTAAATTCAGCAGAGATGCTAAAAAACAAGTCAAAGTCACACTCTGAGGTTGAATGCCTGAGTCAGAGTGTTTGTATGAAAGCAGTGTCTTTGCTCTGCTCCAGGTTGGTGAAGGGAGAAGTGTGGACTTTGGTGACAGAGTTGGATTTGAATTTTAGTTCTGTCACTTAATTCCATAGGTTGACTTGATCTTTAAAATGGGTGGGAAAATAACTCTAGTCCAGGTTGTTGGTAGGATTAAATGAGGAAATTGAGGTACCCAGTTGGAGACTGGAAGTTAACGCTCCCTATTTCTTTCACTTACCAAGACTTTACACACCTTTTTTTGACTGCATTGTTGCTTCCCCTGTTGTTTCAAATAGTTTTATATATGTATATCTAAAATCTTAGGATTTTTTTTTATATTTCATTCTTAGTTTCCTAGGGTTTGTTACCTCTCTGTTTCCATGGTGATTTCCTAGGGATAGGTTTCTATTTCTGTTCTGGTTGACAGTTTTCTTGATTTGCTTTCCTTCCTTCCTTGTAACTCTTTTTTTTTTTCCCCCCCAAGTGCTCACAGACCAAAGAAAGATGGTCCAGGATCCAGAGCAGAGCAGCAAGACTAGAGGGGCATGGTTTCTATCAGGGAGCAAAAGTGTGACTAGGAGATTGCTGTTCACAGGTTTCAGTATGCCCAGAGAGAGCCTAGTTGTTTCTGAGATCAGGCAAAGCCTGCTGGGTGAAGCCTTTCATGGCACTCCCAGGCAGAATCATTCCCTTTCTTGACGACCCTAGGCAAGCTTTGTTCTTCACACAATGCTTTTACATGATTTAGGGCTCACCCTCCTCCAAGAGACTTTAGAATGGGGTTTTATATGTCCTAATAATTCCAGATCCTGTTAAATAATCAGGGCTTAGAGAGAGAAGAATCAACATGACAAACACGCTGTCTAATCAATCAGGGAAAATTGTAAGATTCTTCCTATGCTGTTGTGGTTTGAATGTGAAGTATCCTCCACAGACCTACGTGTCTGAACACTCCCCAGCTGCTGTGGTGATGTTTGGGAGGTTATGAAACTTCTAGGCGGTGGAGCCTTTGTGGAGGAATTGGGTCACTGGTGGCAGGCCTTGAGTTTTGATATCCTGACACCATTTCCTGTCCACTCTGCTTTTTGATTGCGAATGCAATGTGACCAGCTGGAGTGAATGCCTTTTCTGCTATGATGGATCAATGAATCCCTTTTTAGCTGTAAGCCCAAATAGCCCTCCCTCTCTCAAGGTTCTTCTTGTCATGTATTTGGTCACAGCTATGACAAAAGTGACTAATGCACATTCATATAAGCCTATGTGTGCATAAGACAGAACAGAAAAGCTATGTGTAATAATCTCAATAGATTCCTCACTATAATCCTATTTGGGTATTATTATTTGATTCTAGAGTTGAGAAAACTGAGGCTCAGGGAAATGAGACTTTTTCCAGGGCTACACACAGGTGAAAAGAGCTGGAACAGAACTGTGACTCAGCTGATCCTCAAACCTGAGCATTCCCTGCCGCAGTGCACGTTTTCTAGTAAAACTCCTATCAGCCGATGGAATTGGGAAGGATGCCAGTTTGTCTCAGCCAGAAATTGAAAGCTCTTTTATTAGGATAGTGGTGTTTTTGAGCGAGATAACCTGAAAGGGCACTAAAAACATTGTTTATCAAGCTGTCTTCTCCAGCTTAGCTTCTCATTAAGACTCACAACAGTCCTTTGCTGCAAAGAAGAGAGACACCTAGCAGGGCAGTTTTATGGCAACAGTAAATACCAGGTAACCATGGGTAGCTGGAGAAAAATTTGATATTACCTGCTGTCCATGGTAGAACACAGCAAGGAGGAACATGGCCATCAGCAGCAGGGACGCCTCTTTGGTCCCCAGGAAATCTCTGTGGGAAGAAGAAAGGCAAAATGGCAAGGTGACTAACATCCAAGAAGGGGCTTCAAGGAATCAGGTTCAAACTGGAGCGTGATGAGGAAGAACAAATGTTTTCTGAATACCCACTATTTGATAGTGGCTGTCCTGAGGGTTCATGTCTCCTCAGTCAGAAGCCAAGGGATCACCAACCCTATGAGGCCAACTAGGACAGAGCTGGTAAGATGCTGAAGTTTAGCATCCAGATAATATGCTCACATTAATATTAATAACAACATCTCTATTTACAGAGTAATTTTTCTATATTTCAAAAAGATTTAATGCCTTTTCATCACAAAAATTCCTGTGGAGGGAAACAAGAATTCAGTAATCCTTTGTAGGGGCATGGATGGGGCCCAGGGGGTCTTCAGAACTGTTGTATGAAATGCACAAAACTCAGTAAAAATATTAAAAAGGTACTAACCTATTAAAGAAGACAGTGTAAAATGCTTATTGTGTGATGGTCTTTATCCTAAGCTTTCATGCTCAGATTCTTGTATCTTTTAATTTCTATAGGAATTCTTTTAATTTTTGTATCAATTCTATGTGTGGAGGACTGCTGGTCCTGTTTTATTACTTATGTCTTTTAATGAGGGCTTTGTTCTGTATGTGCCTTTCTTCCAACAAGATTTGTGGGTCACTGGACTGGGATGCTCTGGGCTCTTTAAAAGACCAAGCTGAAAAGATCAGTGGCAAGGGGACATTTAAATGCTGATATGGCTTCCATACACAAAGGACATTCAGAGGAGGACCAGGAATTCCTTGTTAGGTTCTGAATCCTTTCTTTCCCCCTGTTACTCCAACAGGAGGCTTCTCAGGACTCTACACCAGAAGGCCAAAGGGTTGGAGGGAGCAATGCTGGACTGTGATCATGGGTCACATGTAGAAATTGCTGATCCTGTTGAAACATTTTCACTGGCTAAAGAAAAAAATCAAAATAAACACCCATTTACAAATCAGCTCTATGCATGTTGTGATGCTCCTTATATCAAATGGTGTTCCCTTTCTTCTGCTTCTTCCTCTCAGGCTTCTCCTCATCTCTTCACTTAGATAACTGAGTCAGAAAAAGAATCAAAACCAGGAGCTGGTCCTTATCAGTCCCCTATCAATCCACAGCCAAACCGATTCTGCCACCAAAATATATACCCATTGAAACCACATTTCTCCATACCCACCTTTATCGTCTGAGAGCAGCCATCCTGATATCCAATAGTTTCCTCAAATTAACCTTCACAATCTATTTACAGTGTTGCCAGAATCTTCTTACCACTAAAACCCAATCATGTTATCCCCTTGTTTAATGTCTTATGAACCACAAACACATATACTCAAGAATCAATCAGAAGTGACTCTGACGTGGCTAAAGGAGACTGCATGGCCATGAAGGATTAGATGGTACAAGGCTCAGGGACCATCAAAAAGAGTGAGTGGAAAGAATTTAAATGCTGGAAAATGGGGAGATGCTCTGTGAAATATTGTCTCTTGAATAAGATATATCTAATCAATATATTGACTCACAATGGCTGTGGTCGTCTGCACGAGACCTGAACAAGATCAAGCCAGTCTAGATTCCAGCTTGAAAGGAGGAGGCTTTCCTAGGACGCCATCCCTAACTGAAGATCTGTTGGCAGTTGATGACTGGTGAAGGAAGTAGATGCATTTTTTGGGTGTGTGTCACTGCTGGTAGGTTACCCATGCCCTGTGGGTGGCCTCATAGCCGTTTTCATATGTTCAGCTCTAATTGGACTAGATTTGCTATTAATAGCAACAATAGTAAAAAAGGACATGGAATTTGGAGGGAGATGGGCTGGTGGTTCCCAGGAAAGCTGGAGGAATGTGGTTTGGGGGGGGTATATAAAATTAAAAAGTATTATATAAATATATGAACTTTTCAAGGAATAAAAATATTTTTTTTAAAACATTAAAAATTCCAAGATGAGTATATCACAGGTTATGTGTTTTTACCACAAATCACAAAATGATAAAATAAAAAAAGAGGAGATCGTGTCTAGAGTGAAGAATCTAGGAAGTACCAACCTGGGTGCGCTTTTATCCGGCTTTTCTCTCACTGTTCTCGCTAGAAATCAGCAGGTGCCAAGGGCTCAGAAGAAGGGAGGCATAAGGTCAGCTTCCAACACCAACTTCTCATACAGCTTTATACTAAAATATTCTTCCATCTCATAGTGGGTAAGGAGCAGTCTAGCACACTAGGGTATAATAGGGACTTAGAAATGTGCTGTGCTGGATAGCTTTAGTGTCATCTTGACACACCTGGGTTGAGAGAGCCTCAACTGGGGAATTGCCTCCATAGGACTGGACTGTGGCCAAGTCTGTGGGGCATTTTCTTGATTGTTGAGTGATCTGGGAGGGCCCAGCTCACTGTGGGTGGTGCCACCCCTGGGCAAGTGGGCCTATATTGGATAAGAAAGCAGGCTGAGCAGGGGCCAGGGGAGCAAGCCAGTAAGCAGTGATCCTCCATGGCCTGTGCTCCAGCTCCTGCCTCCAGGTTCTTGCCCTGAGTTCCTACCTTGGGCTCCCTGATGAACTGTGACCTGGGAGATGTAAGACAAATAAACCCTTTCCTCCCAAGTTGATAGTGGTCAGAATGGTTTGTCACAGCAATGGAGAAACAAACTAGGACATGTGCCTTCTCTTGGGGAAGTGTTCTGTGTGTGGGGACCAAGAGAATAAAAAAGCTGCAGGAGTTGGAACAAGATTCAAAACTGTGAGTTCATTTTCCTTGGAGATAAGATGCCAACAGTAGATCTCATTATTGTTTTTTCTCTTTAGTCCCAGAGAACATAATTGTTGAGCATTTACTGTATATCCATGCTGTGACACAGAAATGAAGAAGATACATTGTTACTGCTTTCAAAATAGTCTGATAGGAACCAAATATATAGATAATTTTATAATTAGGATGGATCTATCCTTGTTGTGATGGGACTATTTGAGAAGAGAAAGTAACAAACTGAGGATGGATGTTAAGCGGAAGATTGAAGAATGCTGGGATAGCATGCAGATCGGGGGTGGGGGAATCTCTGTGACCCAAGAGGCCTGAGGGCTGAGACAACATGGTGCTGGCAAGTCTCAGGAAAGGGAACTCAAGACGCCAGGTCTGAGGGGAGAAGGATCCTAGTGAGCCAGGCAGGCCTGAGCATTGAGATGGTAAGGGATTTACAGACACCTTATTTTTGACAAAGGGGCCAAAATTCACACTGGTGAAAAGACAGCATGTTCAACAAATGGTGTTGGACTAACTGAATAGCCACTTGTAGAAGAATGAAACTGGACTCCTATCTCTCACCATGCACAAAAATCATTTCCAAGTGGATCAGGGACTAATCAGAAGACTTGATATCATGAGTATGATAGAGAAGAAAGTAGGGACACACTGGAACTTACAGGTACAGGAAAGGACTTTCTGAACAGGCATCCTGTACCACTATGCCACAGTCATTAAATCCAACAATTGACGAATGGGACCCCATGAGACTAAAAAGATTCTGTACAGCAAAGGACGTCATCATTTAAGTGAAGAGGCAACCAAAAGAATGGGAAACAGTCTACCAGCTATACCTCTGACAGAGGATTAATAGTTCTCAAAAGGTGAAATGTAAATGACTGAGAAATATTTAATAAAATATTCAACATCTTTAGTCATCAGGGAAATGCAAATTAAAACCACTTTGAGATTTCATCTTACCCCACTTAGAATGGCTAAAAGAAAGCACTCAAACAAACAAAAAATCCAAACCAAATAAGAACAAAGGCTGGTGAGGTTGTGGGGGAAAGGAACTCTTATCCACTACTGGTGGGAGTACAAACTGGTGCAGTCACTATGGAGATAAGTGTGGAGATTGCTCAAAAAAACTAGAAATTGGGGCTGAAGAGATGACTCAGCAGTTAAGAGCACTGATTATTCTTGCAGAGGACCTGGGTTTGATTCCCAGAACCCACGTGGCAGCGAACAACCATCTGTAACTCCACTTCCAGGGATCCAACACCTTCTTTTAACCTCTGCAGGCATTGCACGACATGGGTGCACTCAAACACATGTAGACATTACACTCATACACATAAAAAATTGTAAAAAGTTAGAAACCAATATATCATATGATCCAGCCATACCACTCATGGGCATAAACTCCCAAATTGTCCATTCATGTTCATCGTTGCTCTATTCACAGTAGCCAGGAAGTGGAAACAACCTAGATGTCCGTCAACTGATGAAAGGATAATGAAGGTAAGGTACACTTGCACAATGGAATATTACTCAGCTATCAAAAAGTGAAATTATGAAGTTCATAGGAAAATGGGTAGAAATGGAAATATCCTGAGTGAGGTAACCCAGACCCAGAAAGACAAACATCATATGTTCTCTCTCATAGCTGGATGTTAGATTTGAATTCTTAGACATTTATGGTTCAATTGGAAAATCCAGATGGGGAGGCTTCATGTGAGGGAACATAGAATGCAGTGATATAAAGAGGGAAAGAAGAATAATAGAGTAGGAAGGATTAATTGGGCTGGGGAGTGGTAGGGTGGGGCAGAGAAGGACACAAGAGATGCGTGACTGACGCTAGAGGCCTTTCAAAGAAGCCGTATGAAAGCCTCCCACGTTAGAACCTTCTTACACTGTATAAATATACATTATAAAAGATTTAAAGGAGTTACTTTGTAACAGGGAAAGGACCCTTACTAGATACCATAGGCTAGCAAACTAAATGCCCAATGCCACGGATGGACTCTCACTTTTGAAACTGTTGACCAGAAGTCCCTAAGATCCTTAAATAATAATGATCATTGCCCCTGCCCTTAGGCACCCACTAGAACTTGACAGGAAGACCCTACTTCTGAAGATACTACAAACATGAGCTGTAGGAAAAAAGGGAGAAATCATGCCGGTACTGACTTCATCTTTACTGACTAGCTTTCATAGTGTGGAAGGTGCTGTGCATGCTACTGGAAAAG